AAGATTATTTTTAGAAAAAGTATTTTCGAAGAGTGGATGATTCTTATTAGGAGCTACAGAAGAAGCATGTGAAAGTGTTAAAAGTGCCCGCCTATACTGCAATGATGGTTGTCCAGTTTCAGAATATACGCTTTCTATGGGTGAAGTGTGAAAACCTCCGAGAACGATCCAAAGTGCGGCATTGTGGATTGTATCTAATGGTTTTAGGGTACTCTTGGCTACGGAGGCATAAAAAATTGAACCGTAATCGAGTTTGGATCTAATTAATGTTTTATACAGAAGGAGTAGTGTAGAGAAGTCGGAACCCCAGAAAAATTTGATACGGTTTTAAGCAAGTTGAGTTTTTTGTTGCATGTTAGCGCCAAGTGTTGTATGTGTTTTTCCAATAAAGTTTTTGATTCAGCCACATACCAAGGAATTTCACGGAGTTTTGGAAGGGAATGATGCTGTTGTGAAGATAAAGGACTAGTGTCATGGATGATTTCTTCGTAAATACCATACCAGTTGTCTTTGTAGCGGAGAATTTGAAGCCGGTACTAGTCGTCCATGCATCTAGTTCGGTTAAAAATGTCTATACTATTCTGCACATCCATTATTTTTGTGCTCCTTTAATATACACCACTAAATCGTCGGCATAGAGGCGAGCTTTGAGAGGTTCATGTAATTTGTTTAATATGTTGTATATGACAACTAGAAATAGGGTAGGACTAAGTACTGAGCCTTGTGGGGTACCGTTTTCTGCAGTATAAAAATCGGAATAAATGTTATTAACTCTTACTTGGAAAGAACAGTTTTTAAGAAATTTTCAATATAGGCTAAGCAGTGTCCTCTAAAATATTGGATGCGTACAATTTTTTATTGATGTTGAATCTTCAACATGTATTAAATGCTTTCTTTAGATCGAAGAAAATAGCTATGCACATTTGTTTAATTGCTAACGCTTCTTGGATATCACTTTGTAAGTTTACGATATTGTCAATTGCTAACCGGTTACGTCTGAAGGTTACGTTGTTTTGCTCTGGTAAGAAGAAATGAGATGTTTGCAGTGTCCACATAAGCCGGGTATTGACTATTTTCTCCATTAATTTAGCCATGGCACATGTTAGAGAGATGGGTCGGTACGATTCTGGATCAAGTCGAGGCTTTCTAAATTTTAAAAACGGCAAAATTGTGGCTTTTGCCCATACAGACGGATATTGTCGTTGCTGCCAAATTTAATTGAAAATTTGCAAAAGATGTTGTTTTACTAAAATTGATAAATGCTTTAGGAATACAACAGGAATATTGTCGGGTCCTGGACTTGAGTTTTTCATATCTTGTAAGGAGTTATTTAGTTCTGTAATAGAAATAGGTTGAGATAGGGGGTTTTAGTGGGATTCTTCTAGAGATAAGATGGTGCGTTCTTTCTTTAGCTTAAAGTCCCTAAAATTATTGTCGTAGTTTTCGCTAGAGGAATGTTGTTCAAAGGTGGAAGCAAGAGTTTTAGCAATGTCTTGTGAAGAAGAGACTGTGGTGTTGTTTATTTTAAGAGTGTTAATTGACGAAGAATACTTTAAACCGGAAATTTTCTTCGGGTTTTTCCAAATTTCGCTCATTGGAGTAGAATTGTTTATTTCTGAGACGTATTTTGACCATGAGGATTTTTTTGAATTTTTTTGATTAATTGGGCTCTGACTTTTAACCGTTTGAATTATATTTTACTTTTTTGGGTTTTGTGCCATTTAAACCTATTTAGAGCTTTTTTACTTTGCCGTATTGCTTCTGCAATCCTTATTCCACCATGGTACTGGATGATGATTGTGAACTTTTTTTGTTTTTTGAATGTAGAGTTCTGCACTTTTTAGGATTAAGTCATTAAAATTGGTGATTGTTCTATCGATATCACAGTAATTTATTTCACAACTCTCTACAGAATTATCAATATATGTTGAAAAGTTCCCCTGAATCAGCCTTTTCTGTTTTCCATTTTAAGACAAAGGTGTCTTTTGGTTCCGGTATGGTGTTAGTATTGCAGATTTTTATGAGGTAATGATCGCTGCTGTAGGTGAACAAGAACACTTCCCAGGATAAGCAAGGAGTTAAAATTGGATCACAGACACTTAGGTCAATTGCCGAGGATTCTCCTGATGCTAAGTTGAACCTCGTGGGGGTTCCATCATTAAGAAAATTTAAATTAACGTTATGTATTAGGTTTTCTATAATTCTTCCCATCGTATTTGTGTTAGAAGATCACCATATTATATTGTGTCCATTAAAGTCACCGACGACTATACGTGGTGTTGGAATTTTGTGTATAAGGTGCAGTATATCTGCATAATTTACTTGTGAGTTTGGAGGAATGTAGATATTAGATAAAATAGATAAAATGACATTAAGGAATCAATTTTGATGACTAAATTGCTTTATACGGGAAATAAATTTGCATTGAAAGATTTTTTTACTAATGTCATAACACCACCACTAGCATGGTTAACAAGCATCCTGTCTTTACGGAAGCATATGTATTGGTTAGGATTGTATTTCTGTTGGGGTTTTAAATTGGTCTCTTGTAGACAGATTATGTCTGGACAGTTTTCGGCAATGATAATCTGTAGCATAGCCAAGCGATGGAAAAATCCATCGATATTCCATTGCATGATCGAGTTGAATGTAAGAAATGAAAAATTTAAATAAGAAAAAAATAAAAACTAAATCACTTCATAATCATCACTTTCTAATACAGAGCCCGCCTGTCCAAGATAAGCAAATATTTTTTTGTTTAAGTTGGTTAGTCTTGCTTTTATTGACCTTTCTTTTAAATAGGGACGGATTTGTTTTAATATGTGAGAGAGACCTGGCAAATCAGAGGTGAAATCCTTGATCGATATTATGGGATTAGATAAGCCGGCAGTGCTGTCTAGTAGGAGAGCTAATTGTTCACTGTTCAGTAGAAATGGTGGTTCGTGATTACTGATGAAGGTTTTGGCTGGTTCCATCATGGATGAAAAGGATAAATCCGAATGCATTTCTTCAAGTTTGGTTTTCTTTAGCTTTTTTTGAGTTCCTGTGGATTTTGGTGTTACAAATGTCAAAATGTCAAAAAAATGTCAAAATTTTTGACTTTATTGAGGTGCAGTGTCAGTTTCTGGAGAGATGACTTCATTTATAAAGCGTTTTGAATGCGTTTCTTTGTTTTCGGTTCTTCTGTATTAACATTAGGTAATTCTGACTCGGTATGTTGTAAAAGAGTATTTTGGTGTGATAATGGAGGTAGAGTTTGGTTAGACAGCGACATTGATGGTTGCGTTTATGTTACAGTTTGTGCAGTCAAATCAGCTTCTTCTTCTTCTTCTTGTTCGTCTAGCCATTCACGTCCACATCTGAACATAAGCCTCTTCAAGTCTTCCTTTCCATTGTTTTTTATTGTACGCTACTTGTAGCCAATTTAAAAATCGTCAAAAAAAAATAGTCAAATCAGCTATAGTTGTAATATTAGAAGTTGTAGAACTTAGTGGAGTTTGATATAGTGTTATATTTGTAGGTTCGATACAGGCTGCTGCTACGTGTCCTGGTTTCTTACATTTAAAGCAGATGTTCCCGTCTTGTGAAAAAGAATACTGTGTATTCTTAAAGCTTAGGATATGGCTATAATCGGGAAGAATCAATTTTTAGAAATGTTATGGGAGATACAAGATTTAGACCAATTTTAAGTAATTCTTGTTCAAGAATATTATGTGGAATGGTCGGGCATACGTTTGAGATAACAATTCTTTTAGCAGGTATTATAAGCCGTCTAGCTCTTAAAACTTCTCCTCGGATAATCATTTGACCATGGTTATCTAAAAATTCATCTAGGATATTTTTGGTGGTTTTCTTTTATTTTCCCATGGTCTCCAGTGTAGAATTTGCTTATTCCATCTATCATCTTTTGCAGGAGAGTGTGACCGGCGAAGTTCCATTTAAGTTTCGCAACCTGTCTTGATACATCGTTCACCTTTGTTTTTTCTCTGATTGAACTGTATTACCAAGAGGAATTAGGTAGTCTTGAAGCGGAGTATTTTCAATTGCACTAAACACTAGTGCTTGTTCTGTGGAAGGAAATATAAATTGATTGGTCACTGCTGAATAGCTTTTTGGTACATTTGTTTTAAATTGAGATGATTCAGAATCAAGTTGTTGTGCATAACTTAAATTCATGTTTGCTTTGGTAAAATTATTTTAAAATAACAGGTGTTATCCGCAAGAGTGAGTGCGGCCCTGTCCCCTGATGGGAACCCAACCAGTTCTTATCAATTATTTTAACCTCGATTGAAAATTTCTTGGTAATTGTAATATTACTGATATATACAATAAAATGTTTGTTATTTGCAATAATTATGTGGAAAATAATATCTCATTGATCACTTACTGCCTTTTTTATTGATTTGCACAACTTTCACAAAATAAATCAGTCTTGTGCTCAGTCAGGACCGGTGTCCCATAAAAACTTCTTTTCTGTTAAATTGTAGTTTGTTAAATTTATTTTAAAACAGAATTTTAATAATTGATTGTTTAGAAGATATGCCGGTTATATTGGTACATCTTGATGTTACAAGCATTTATATATACATAAACAATATAATTATATCATATTTTGAAATCAATTTTATTACTACAAAAAAGATTTTGCTCGTAATCATTTAATAGTAATGTTCCAACTTTCGAAGAAACACATAAACATAGGTGAGCTGAGTATAGAAATGGGAAGCAAGCATGAAAACCTTCGAAAGTTAGATGAATCAACTTATAACTTGTTAAAATAAAATAAACATACCACTTGTCTTGTCTTTCTTAGAGTAAATGAAGCAGCAGTACTCAATTTCGTTTTGGTTTTGCTTTGGTAACTTAAAGTTGGTTTGTTTGAGCTATATTTAGATGGCTTTATACACTTTAATGAGCTATTCACAAGCTTAAGTTTATAAAACACTAAGTTGTATTTACGTAGATAGTTGTTTATATTCTTACCCATTTTTGTTTTGCAGTCGTATTCTCCATCAGTAATTCAAGCCACCAAACAAAATATTGCAACAATGAAGAATGTCATAAATGGGTGGTATGCCGGTGGTGGTACGAATAGTATAGGTAGTTTAGAAGTTGGACTAATGGCTGTCTCAAAAACTCAACAACTTTACCCAAATAAATATTTACCCATTATGGTCTTCCTCACAGACGGAATGCCAAATGTTGGATCTCGGGATACAAATTACATAAACCAAGTGGTAATTATATTTCTTACTATATCCCTATTTGTTTTAATTTAAGTAAATTTTAACTAAATATAAAAAATACAATTAACTCTCACTCATACGAGGTGTTGATTCCTCAAAGGTATGACAGAAAATTCTCGACTGTTTAATTGTTTGATATAAGGTTGAATGCTCGAAAATGAACTTTGATCAAATGAAATTTCAGGGGCATCTGAAATAAGCCAACATCGTTTTTTTAAGTGGAGAAAAACAATTAACTTCGATAAAAAACTCGAAGTTAAAGGTTGATAAAAGTTTTTATTTTAGACTTTAGACTTACTTCGTCAATGTTGGCCTATCCGACAATTTGTGGAGAATGTCATAAACATAAAATTGTACATTACACGATACTACACAATGACAAACAGTTTAAATTTTTTTAAAAAAGGAGAAGCTACATTATGGTTGGCATCAGGAGAGGGAATGGCTCCTGGTCTTAACGGAAATGTTAAGGTGACATGTCACAATCATGGTGATGTGATCTGCACATTTCAAAATTCTATAAAACTAAGCATTGCCTGAAGGTCCAACTGACATTACTATAGAAAATCAACTGATGAAATGTGAAATTGTATAGAATATTTTAAGTAGATTTCATAATCCATATCTCACACCCAAACCTGTCTATAATAATTAGGGTGTTAGTTTGAGGGCAACTGAAATAGACGTAAAGTATGAATGCAAGAAATAGACTAAGCAAACTGTTACACAATGAATGGTTGACTACAATAAAAGGGTCTACCAAGCACTATCAATAGTGTAGAAAAGAAGAAATTTAACTATGAAATTAAAATACTAAAAGTTAAAATCAAAATTGAAAGCAGAGTGTATAAATGGGATATAATCCAAGTAGTTTAGTTAAACCCACAGTCAATGGGAGAACCATAAAATTAAAATGTCAACGCATTACTCAAGACCAACTGACCAACAGTGGGAGATGTTGAAATATACAACTATGGATATGGTATATCTAAATTACGCACCAATGGAAAATTAATCATTGACACCCAAGAGATGAAAGACAAATGGAGAATATATTTGGAGGCACTTTTTCAAGATCAAAGAACGGATTATAGGCATCCATTTTCAGAGAGGATGACGGGCCCGGACATACTTAAATCCGAGGTAGAAGAAGCAATAAAACGGATGAAAAGCAGGAAAGCTGTAGGGCCTGATAATATCGAAGCTGAATTTTTAAAACTCTTGGAGGAAGAAGGAATAATTTGGATCACGGCTATCTTCAATAAAATATACAATACAGGAATCATTCCTGATAAATGGCTAGAATTAGAATTCATACCGATACCTAAAAAACAGGGGGCTAAAAAGTGCGAAGAATATCGAACAATCAGCCTAATGAGCCACATGTTGAAACTGTTTCTTAGAGTCATCCATGGAAAAATGTATAAGAAGTGCGAGGAACAAATATCGGACAGACAGTTCGGCTTCATTAACGCAGTGGGTACCAGAGGGGCACTTTTCGGAGTACAGGTACTGATTCAAAGATGCAGGGACGTTAACTGCGACGTATACGCGTGCTTGATCGACTATGAAAAGGCATTTGACAGAGTTCAACATCAAAAGATAATAAACATTTTAAAAGAGGCAGACCTGGATGACAAAGACCTCAGAATAAATTCAGAACTCTACTGGAATCAGACCGCATACATGAAAATTAACGGAGAAAAAACAGATCACATAAAAATACTACGTGGAGTTAGACAGGGATGTATCCTATCGCCGTTGATATTTAATATGTACTCAGAGAAAATTTTTAACGAGGCTCTTTACGGAATAGACGAAGGCATCCTTCTAAATTGTGAAAGAGTAAACAATGTTAGATATGCCGACGACACCATGGTGATAGCAGATAGTTTAGAGTGACTTCAGAGGCTAATGGACAGAATAAACGAGTACAGTCAACAGTACGGACTAAACATTGTACCCATTGTAAACATTTGTACCCACAAAACGAAACAAATGATTATCGGCAAGGAGAATATAAACGGGGCTCATCTATACATTAATGGGACGCAGATAGAGCAAGTAAAACAGTATTTGTTACCTGGGAACTATTATTAGCGAACAGTGGAGCAATTTACAGGAAATAAAGTGCCGCATGGGAAAGGCAAGAACGGTCTTTAACAAAATGAGCGCCATCTTCAAAAGTCACAACATATCCCTTGATACAAAAATGAGACATTTGAGATGCTATGTTTTCTCTGTGTTGTTATACGGGGCGGAGGCATGGACGCTTACAGACACCACTATTAAAAAACTTGAAGCATTTGAGATGTGGCTTTATAGAAGAATGCTGAGAATATCATGGACAGCAAGGATCACGAACAAGGAAGTTCTACGAAAAATGAAGAAGGAACCAGAGATTGTGTTTACAATCAAACGCACAAAATTACAATATCTGGGACACGTTATGAGAAATGAGCACCGTTACTCCCTGCTACAGTCTATATTGCAAGGTAAAGTCAAAGGTAAGCGAGGACCCGGTAGAAGGAGAATATCATGGCAGCGGAATTTAAGAACATGGTTTAAGAAAACCTCAACGGAGCTGTTTCGAGCCGCAGCGAGCAAGGTTATGATTGCCAATATGATTTCCAACATCTGAAACGAATAGGAACCAGAAGAAGAAGAAGAAATTACGCAGAGATATGGAGAGTGCAATTAACGCCAACTATAGATCAATTGAACCTGAACAAGCTAGTATTGTAAATTATTGAAGAATAAAATAGTAGTGGTAATTAAAGTATGAAATTAATAAATTCTTAATGGGTATACTTAGTACCTTATATTTACTTAATGCAAAAAGTTTATTGTTCTAAACATTTAATAACTGACTGTAGACAGTCAGATGATAAGATGACAATTGGTTGGATCCCCGTCGCATGTGATGAGCAAAGTTCTAGTAAATTAATAAAATCATAAGTTATTGAAAAATAAAAATAAGTCCCCTTTTTTCGATAGCATAGTTTAAGAAATAAAAGTGTAGTGCAAAATGTGTCGCCTTTTATTGTCTACTGTTTACACGCATTGACATTTTCCTCATTTAATATTAAAATTCGTGATACAAAAGACGCCATAATAGACAAAGGTTTTTTTGCTTAAAAGTAATACTAGTATTAGTTCATTTATATACTGCGAATGCTTATTATGTATGTTGCTTTGTAAATTAGAACTTAACAATTATTTCGGCAAAGTTAAAGAGATGCAGCATCGGCATTTTTTCTCAGACCAATATAGAAAATATATTGGTCTTTTTATATTTTAATATGTTTATTTAGTTTAGATTTAAAATACAATAAAAAATAATCATAACACAATCAAAATAATTGTGAAGATAGTCAGTGAAAACATGTTTTAATTGAAAATTAAAAGCAAAAATCCCAGTAGTTGACTGTGTTCTATAGTTAACTGTAAAACACCCTGTATAAAGCCAGTATAAGACAAATGATGAAATTTGTAGAAGAAACTAGGCCTGACATAAACATAACACAAAAGTAATTGAAAACAGGTAATAAGAGTAGTAACAAAAATTCCTGGAAATATGCTAAAGGCCTTAGAAGAACTGAAGCTGTCCAATTTAATATCGGAAGATGAATCACCAAATGGTAGTAGTGTTTGTCAATTACAAAAAAGATGTAAGAAGTAACACTTTAACTTCGATAACATTATTTCACTTTTACAATCGTTATAGTAATTTTACTATTTTACTGATTTGGCAATGAAAAATAATGTCACCACTTGTTTACGATACTGAATTTAACATTTTACAAATAATTAGTGATTATGGGAAAATAATTAAACATTTTAGGCTTTCCCATCGCTTTTTTTAGTGCATTTAAAGATCCACTATTACTTTATAATTATATTTTCTATATATTTTACAGATTACAAAAGTTAATAGAGCAAGTTACAATATTCCAATATATTCGCTGTCTTTTGGAGAAGAACCAGATATAGACCGAACGTTTCTACAAAAATTAAGTGGACTTAACAATGGTGAAGAACACAAAATTTCTATCGATTTGGATTCATCGACATATATTCAAAATTTCTACAAAACTATTTCAGTTATTTTGTTAAGCAACGTCGCTGTCAATAATCTACCACCAGTAAATCAAGTTACACAAGTTAATTTCCCAATATATTTTAAAGGATCGGAATTGATGATTGTTGGAAAAGGTAGGTGTAGTATTAAAGTAGTATAAAAGACATATCTTAAAGATATTGGGATGAATACAGTGATCCAACAATATTATAAGTATCAAACATATTCTATAGCAATAAATAAATAGTTTTTTAATAGAACATTAGAGCACATATATCGGATAACATACGTGTCTTGTTTCAAAATACTTTCGCCACACTTTAAGTTTAACCTTGTAGATTCAGCAGTTTTATAAATATATTTTGCCTAGTAACGAGTCGATTTGTAATAGAATTCTGATGTTATAAAAAGGTATACAGAGAGCAATCGAAGTCACTTAATAAACGTAATTTATTCGTAGTATTCTTTTTCATATACCATGTCCTTTCAGAACGTTGGTTGCCATCATGGCTATCTTAATTTGATTCACTGCCAGTCTAAATAGCACGCTTGTATTAATACTATACCAATTTTGCAAGTTCTTCAACCATGAAGTTTTTCTTCATCCTGGATGGCGTTTGACTGCTATTTTCCCTTGCATAACATTTTGTAGCAATCTATATTTGGGACCTCTGATCACACCTCCGAAGTAAGTACTCCAGATTTCTCTTCTTGATGCTTTTTATACTCTCAGTAGTAAAACTGAGACGTTCTAGTATTCTGGAATTTCGAATCTTCTCCGTGCAAAAATTTTTAAAATTCTTCTATAGACCACATTGGGAAAGTCTTAAAGCGATTTAGACCACTTTTATTCACAGTCCAAGACTCGATACCATAAAGTAAGACCAAGAACATGTAGCAGCGAGGGAGGCGGATTCATTAGTTTAATTTTAAGTCTCTGTTACATAATACCTTGAACATCGTTCTCAAAGTAGTTCTGACCTGCTCAATTCTAGATCTAATTTGAACTTGACTCTATGCGTTACAGTTTATCTGATATTCAAAGTAAACCATTTGATCAACTTGCTTAAGTTTGGTTCTATTTACATAAATAGACGGTTTTAGATTCTGTTATTCTAAATACGAGTATTTTGGCTGTTCGTCTGTCCAGATCCAGACCAGCTTTCATACAGCTCTCAATGACACTTTCAGGTAATGTTTGCACATCTTCTTGAGTAGATGCTATGAGTATTGTGTCGTCCGGAATATTGCAAATTATTATTATTAAAGATTTTACCGTCCACAAATATTCCTTCATGTTTTTTAGAAAGTACATTTCTTAAAATTCTTTCGTAGGAAACATTGAAAAGCAGGGGCGACAAGAGAAATCCATAACGTACTCTTCTAAAATATTAAGAGCTTGTGATTGCAAACCGTCTACTAAATCTGATGTTTGATTCCAACACAAAGTTGCAATGTCTTTTAGAACTTCGAGATCAATATAGAGTGCTTAGCACGATCAAATACCTTTTGGAAGTCAATAAAACACCAGTACATGTCTACAGATATATCACGATATTTTTAAGCAAGTATATTCATTCCAAACAATCCCACTTAGGTATTCCCCGCATTTATTAATGATACGACCATGTTTTACCTTTGGAAAAATTTTCAATAAATGGCTTAACAAACTGATAGTTCTATAATCAGTACAGCTTTTGCTGCTTTCTTCCTAGATAGAGCTATAAACAATTAATTGGACCAATAATTCAAACAATTCCTTTAAAAATGAGCCTTTCAGGATACTACAAAGATCCAAAGGGTTTAAAAAACGAAGCAATTTTACTATTTTAAAAACTCAATTTATAAATTCAAATTTATAAAAGTCGCAATATCTTTGGTCCTAATCAACGAAAATCATTCGTTTTTTATTTGGGGTACCTTCTGGCATATATCCTAAAAATGCATTTAGTTGATTTATAAATTGTTTATTTAAACGAGTAGGTAATTTATTTAAACAATTTAAAATACAAATTATTTTGCAAAATTTTACTATTATCTTATTATTATCAGTAGAAAAGGTTATAAAATAATAAGCAACTATAATATTTATGTAATATAGTTATAAATAACATCTTTTGACAATAAATTTTACAAAAAATAAATTTTTTATTTGAAAATAAAAACTATAAATTTGTTAATATTCCTTGAATTATGTTTATTATTTTTACAATTAATTTTCCCAAAAACATTAAAAATATATTTTACACAAACTAATTGTTATAAACTGTGTATAATTATAAATATTGCAAAAATAATAAGCATAATTCAAGAAAAAGTAACAGGTATAGATTTGATTTTTAAATAATTTTTTTTTGTAAAAAAACAAACACAATGCAGAAATTTGTATCCAGAGCATGCCCCGACGTATAGAAGCTAAATCAATCAAATAGAATCACTTAATATTGAAATTAGTGATTTTATGTAACAATTTTTTTGCAAAAAAATAAATGGTTTTACTAACGGAACTCATTGTTTTTGTGACCTTTAATACCACACTTTTTTATTCAAAAAATAGAGGCAAGCCTTAAAGCCAACAAGTTGCTAAAAAAATTCAGTTAAACGGGAAAATTTCCTTAATAATTATTGGATCTCCGTCGCATGCGACGACCAAAATCATTAGTCATTTCATATCCTTTTCTACTAATAATAATAATATTAAGGGAAAAGTAAAATTTCGCAGAATAAATGTTTATTTTAATGTTTAATATTTTAATGTTTAAGTTAGTCAGTTAAATAGACAATTCACAAATTAACTAATTGATTAATTTCCTATATGTTGATGTGTCTGCGTTATTCTCAGACACATTCTCATTAGTTTACACATAATAATGTTGTAGATAAAAGATTTCTGGGACAAATAATTTCAATTTTACAATAACAGAGTACAAGTTCAGTGAAACAGCTGAAATGTTTACAGCTAAATACATTTGATTTTTATGCATTTTTTTGCAAATTTTTTATGCATTTTAGGAAAAGTCGTTTAGAATTAATTTCCAAAAAATCAATTTTTAGAGCTAGTTTTGCAATAATTAAGCAATAAATAAACAAAAATAACTTTACAAACTCATATTTTAAGAGAATAATTTTCTATGCTTTTTAGTAAAATTGTATCAATTTTCCATATAATTTGCAGGTCTTCATCTTTCGTATTGAACTGTTTTTAATAATCTAATTTATTATCTTTATTTATTATCAAAGGCTCTACATTTTTAACACTTACAAGTTTATTAGAATCTTTATATATTTATTACAGTTTTACACTTATCACTAAAAACTAGGACACAACTACTTTAATTTATATTATTTATTTACAATATTTATTTCCCGTTACAATTATATTTTCGGCCTGACTTATTTTCAAATAAAATGTTCCATATATACTTAATAACCGTTAGCTCCGGAGTCCCCTCGAGCGGACGACAAACTTCTAGAATGAAAAGGAATTCCATCGAAAGCAGACAGTTTTTTTTTTATTCGACCCTCTTCTGGAGAGTTCGAATCGCAGGTATGATAGGGGACCCGTGGGTCGGAGAATCTAGAACATATCAAAATGAAAAATAATATTTACAGTTTTATGAGTCATTATTTATCGTAACAGTATTTAAAACGAAATAGCGATCTTACATTGGTTGTATATTATTTATAAGTAAAAAATGACGTTTATTCTTTTGTATATTGTGTTTATTACATATGTTTATAATCAAATTTATCAAGTTGATAGATACAGTCGTATAGTTGTAAGATACAGATACCTGTATGAGAGTTCACGAAAAAGGCTTATTTGTTAAATTTTCTCTGGTCCAGAAGTAATGATAAGAATAAAACCTATCGTAATGTTCTTTTACTTACTCCGTGGCGTTACAATCCTTCGTGAGTTTTAGCCGACTCGACAACATGCCTCCACTGTTTTCTCTCTTGAGCAACCTCCATCCAATTCTCCAGGCCCATAATGCTTAGGTCTCCTGTTATATTGTCTCGCCACCGGAGACGAGGGCGTTCGCGTGGTCTAATTCCAGTTGGGACTTCCTCCCACATCAGTCTTACTGTGCGTTCGTTAGAATATCTTCTGAGGTGTCCTGCCCAGGAGTCTTAGACGTTATTTCTTTTATGATGTAGGCGTCTGGGTAAAGTTCTTCGAGGTCTTTGTTAGTTCTTATCCTATATTGTCCTGATGATTTATCCAGCACAGGGTCAAAGATCTTCCTTAGGATTTTCCTTTCCCAAACACATAGTCTTTCTTCGTTTGCCTTTGTTATCGTCCACGGTTCACGTAGTTCCACGGCAAAAAGACACATCTGTCCGGCCTAAATCCTGTTGTTTATTTCCTGTGATCCGATATTTTCTTCAGTTATTGTTGTTCCGAGATACTTGAATTCTTTAACGCGTCCAAAATTAAAGTCATCGATGGTGATTTTCTGACCGATTCTGTCTCTGCTTTGGTTATTGCGGCTCATATACATCTATTTCGTTGATTTGGAGCCCCATGTTCTCTGCTTCCTTTTCGAACCTCACGAAAGTCTCCTCCATCCTTAATCGTATGTTTCCTATTAGATCGATATCGTCTGTAAATGCCAGTAGTAAGTTTGGTCCTTCTCGATTAAATACTGCATTTGGTTTTTAGATTCTTGCACTTCTGATTATGTGCTCCAGAGCTAAGTTGAAGAGTTGTGTTGAACGTGCATCTCCCTGTTTTAGTCCATTGTTTATTTCAAATGACTCCGTGTATTGTTGTCCAACTCTCATCTTACATCGTAACCGATCCATACACATCCGTATCAACCTGACTAGTTTTTTTTGGAAAGCCAAGTTCCTGCATCGCTGTCTACTGTCTGGCCCTGCATATTATATCAAATGCTTGTTTAAAATCTATGAACATATGATGAAGCTCACTATCAAACTCCCAGCATTTTTCCATTATCTGTTTTATTGTGAATATCTGGTTAATAGTAGAGCGGCCCGGTCTAAATCCGCATTGATAATCTCCAACGATTCCTTCTGTGTGTGTCTTGGTTCTTTCTAGCAGGATATTTACAAGAGTTTTGTAGGTGGTGTTTAGGAGTGTTATTCCCCGGTAATTAATACATTGGTCTTTGTTTCCTTTTTTGTGTATTGGTACAATTTGTTTTTTAAGCCCTTTTTCTATCCGAATTGTCGAATAAAGGCCTCTCCCATTTCTCGCCATTCATCCCTGTTGTGTGCTAGGCGTTTCCGCATTGGTCCTGCGACTCTTTTGATATCGTCGCTCCAGCGCATTTAAGGTCTTCCTCTTGGTCTCTTAGTATCGTACGGTCGCCAGTTTCCGACTTCTTTGTTCCATCTACCATCTTCGAGACGTTCGTTGTGTCCAGCCCATTTCCATTTTAATTTAGCTGCTTGTTTCGCGACGTCCTTTATTTTTGTTTTGTTCCGAATTGCTTCGTTCGTTTGCCGATCTATTAGTGAGATACCAAGCATCTGTCGTTCCATGGCTCGCTGAGTTTTTCGAATCTTGTCCATGTTCTTTTTTGTGAATGTCCAGGTTTGAGCTCCGTAAGTGAGAACGGGAAGGATACAAGAATCGAACACTTTGGTTTGAAGGTTTTGGGGTATCTTTTTGTCTTTCAGTATATATGAGAGTTTTCTAAATGCGGCCCATCCCATTCTTACTCGTCTGCATATTTCGGTAGTTTGGTTTTCTTTGTTTACCTTGATATTCTGACCCAGATATATGTATTCTTCTACATGTTCCACTTTTGTTCCTGGGATGATTATCGTCTGTTGATCATCTTTATTCGACATTAGCTTAGTTTTACTCAGATTCATTTTCAGTCCTTTTTTATGGATTCCGTATGAAGCTCATCGACCATCGTCTTCAGTTCTTTCCAGCTGTCGGCTATTAGTACTACGTCATCTGCATATCTTAGATGGTTTAAATATTTTCCGTTTATCGATAGTCCCTTCGTTTCCCAATTTAGTGATTTAAAGATGTCTTCAAGTGCGGCAGTAAATAGTTTTGAAGATATGGTGTCTCCCTGTCTTACTCCTCGGTTGATTTTTATTGGCCTCGTTTTCATTCAGTTATCCATCGTGACTACCATTTCAGCGTGTTGATATATATTATGTATTAGTATCCTATATCTAGAATCTATTCTGCTGTCGACCAGTGCTTCCTCAATAGCCCATAATTCTATGCTGTCAAAAGCTTTCTCGTAGTCTATAAATGCTAAACAGATTGGTAAATTGTATTCGTTAACATTTTCTATTAGGATCTTTAGTGTGTGAACATGGTAATGATAGTAGTGATATTGGACGATAATTTTTCAAATCTGTATTGTCCCCTTTTTTGTGTATCAATATTGTGTTAGCAGTATTCCATTCCTTTGGTATGTTTCCTTCAAATAGGCATTTATTAAAAAGTATTTTTAGGTACCTGATGACTTCTCCGCCTTCTTTCAACATTTCTGCCAGAATTCCATCACTACCCGGTGCTTTATTTCTTTTCATTTCTTTAATTACATTTTCTATTTCTACTTTGCTTATTTCGGGCATTACTTCAGAATTTACGTTTGTTATTTGTCTTTTCAGATTTTGCTTTGAAGAGTCGGGGGGATCGTTTCTTGAGCGGTATAACTCAGTATAGAAGTTTTCAACTATGTTTGATATCTGAGCTTTGCTTGTTTCTAGTTGGCCTTGTTGATTTTTCATAGTTATAATATTTTTCTTTCCTAATTTCGGTTTGGTATATTTCAGACTTCGATTTTTCTCTATCGCTCTTTCTACATGTTCTTGTTGATGTTTTTTAATATCGTCTTTTATTTGTTTTCGTATGGCTCGATTAAGTTCTTTGTATTCTGTGGTATTTCTTTTGTTTAGTGACAGGAGCTCTTTTCGTTGTTTCAGCATATTCTTCAATTCTGCACTTATTTTGGATTTTTGTTGTTATGGCGGGTTGCTACTTCTGAGCTAGCATTCAATAGTTCTTTTGTTATAACTGAGTTAATTTTATTAACGCTGAGTTGTTCTAGATTCAGTGCTTGGGCGGTTTTTAATTTACTAGCATATTTTTCTTTATCGACTTTTAGCTTTTCTGTGTCTATTTGTATCGTGTTATTAAAGTTAATTCTACGTTTGCTATACTTAATCCTTCGTTTAGCTCTAACCATTCTGTGATTACTACCCAGAGAGACATTATTTATTATTGTTACATCTTCTACGATACCTTTCTTGTTACACATGATGTAATCGATTTCGTTCCTTGTTTTTCCGTCTGGTGATAACCACGTCCACTTTCTTTGCGGTTTTTTCTTATAAAATGTGTTCATTACGAAATATTCGTTGCTATGTAGAAAGTTAACCAGGATTTCTCCTCTCTCATTTCTAACACCATAGCCGAATTCACCAATATAGTTTTCACTTTCTTCTAGTAGTTGTCCAACCTTAGCGTTGAAATCTCCTATTATAAGTGCTGTGATAGTTCGTGTTGGTTTCTATTAATTTCTCGTAGAACTCATCTATCTCTTCGTCGGGGTGTGTTAAAGGTGGGGCGTACACTTGAATGATTTTTAGGGTGATTTTTTTGTTTATATTCATCACAATCATTGCAATTATTTCTAAGATTCCCACATATTGTTCTATTTTATTAGCATGTTTCTTAGAAACCAGAAATCCTACGCCATTTAGACTTTGTTCTTTGTGCCCTTTGTAATACAAGATGTTACCTGATTGCAATGTTATGCGCTCGTCCCCTTTTCTTTTTACCTCTACGGGACCAATTATGTCCCACTTTGGGTCCTCTATTTCTTCTAGCTCATAGATTTTTTCATCTCTGTTTAAGGACCTTACATTGAGTGTTGCTATATTCAAATTTGTTATTTTTAGCGATTTTTTACTTCCCCCAGATTCCATGAAGCTGTCCTTTTTTATAAAGGGGTGGGACTTGTCAACACTGTATGATCTACCCACCTGGGGACTTACTCCTATCGTTTTAGAATTCGCCATTATTTTGAGGAGGTTATTAGCCCTAAAACACCGCGCTGGCCAGACGTGTTGGTAAGTGTGTATTCAGCCGTCCATTCTGGATCAGACGCTGTTCGTAGCCGTCCACTCTGGATCAGACGCCACAGTTTGTGATCTTATACTATCCCTAAAATCAAGGGTTGCAAGCTTCGCCATCTTCGCCGTATTGAAAGTATTCGTCGACGCCTTAAATGCCGTTCTGAACTTCATCCGTGACCCTGGACAAGGGACCCTTAGCAGGTGCTTGCTTCCCAGGTCAAGAAGCTCCTGAAATCTGCGGAGGGCAGGGATTGATTCACTTTCCCTGATAGGACTATCCAATAGAATCCAAGGGATAATATGCATGTCCTGTTTGGGTAGATTATTTATCAGTTTCTCTAGTTTCTCATTAGTTATCTTTTACATGCTCTTCCTTTTTCTCTGTTGGTGCATCGGCAGCAACTAGGAAATAGTTATGTAGTTGTCCTTTGAGTCTGATATAACAGAGTCTTTCATTAACGGGTTTGAAAGTTAAGACTGACCCCACAAGACTTTCCCTGACAATAAAACCAGTGCCGAGTTGATGGTCCCGTTCGCTTCCGCTAAAAAATACTACTGATTTATTAGTTTTTAGTGTACCTTCTCCAGTCCATCTAATCTCTTGTAAAGCAGTTATGTCCATGTTTCTGGATTCAAGTTCTTTGACCATCTGAGTTAGGGCTCCAAGTCGATATAGGCTTAGTCCTTTTCAGGTTCCTATATTAATTGTCCTTTTTCGTCGCTTTTGTCGTCTTAAAAGATCCGTCCTTATCCGAGACATGTGCTTCGTTTTCATAACCATGTTTTTTTACAAGAAGGAATAGTTAGTCCCTTACTTAACCCTCCTCCTTTCTTATCCTGGACTTGGGACCAGGCAACGGCGGAGTTCCTGGTATTCCTATCGTAATGTAATCAGTGTTATATTTGATTTCTTGTAGATCCTAAGTTTATAAAGTTAACATCTATTTCAGCTTAAGTATAAACTTAACAGTACTTAATATTTCACATAGTTTATGTTTTCTAGGAGCCAGTATCAGTACTGCGCCAGTACAAATTTCAGCAAAAGCCAAAAAAGGACCCATAGACTATGAAGCAAAGACAGGTATTCCTTTGGCAAAATTGGAACGAGTTTGGGCCTATTTAACAGTAAAACAATTAGCCGATCAATATCGCATAACAGGAGATACTACTCTTGCCAAAATTGGCATGGAAATAGCTATGAATCATTCTTTGGTAACCGATTTTACTTCTTTGGTTGTGGTCAAACCAAATATGTCTGGTCAAACCGTGAAAATTGTGGATGCTTACCATGGGATATTTCCCACAAAACCTAGTGAATTACCAATGTGCAACAACATCCAAAGTATGTATTTCAACAGGTACAGTAATCATTTAGTCGCTAAGAATATAACTTAGATATGATTTATACTTACTTGACATTTTGATGGGCAACAAACTTATGTTCATTTTTTTTAATACTGCATTAGGTTATTTTGTTCACTGGTACCTAATTCATTTTAAACTACTATTATATACTATATTGGCCATTTATTTTTTATAAAAAAATGAGCAGAAATATTGGTTTATTTCCAATAATAATATTATTTTAAAAATCATCAAATCAAATCAAGTACAAAAACCATTTTAAAGTAGGTTCTGAAAAGGTGTGATATGATACAACTCGATCGATAATCAAAAAATACAGGTATAGAGGTTTTAAGGCTTGTATAATATTATTTATATTATAAACAAAAGACTTTGTTCTGGCAGATGACAATGACACCAATGACATTTTTAATCAAAAAAAAGTTGATTAAGTTTGTGTGGTTTCTCCAACTTTGTTCAGCAGAGACGTAATATATGGCAATGCTTTGAAACAACATTATGGAATTTAAATTGAAATATAAATCTCGAACGACATGGAAATGACACAGTGATCATCTTCAAAAGTATCGAAGTCTGTCCACATTGTCTTACTGATGCCAAATCACTATTCAAAATAATTAAATTTCAACAAACAACATCCTACTTACTAGGGATGGGAAAAACCTACCGGTTTTAACCGAAAACCGGTTTTTTTACTTCGCAATAACCGGTTTTATCGGTTGTTTTTGTGTCCCGGTTATAACCGGTTTTTTATTTTTTAAGTAAAAACCGGTTATTAGGTTTGTTTCGATTCGGAAATCTACCGTTTAAATTTGTTATCATCACAAAAAATTTGATATTATTTTCAATACGTTTGTATTAAAATTTATTTGATACTGCCATGTATTGTTTAAAAATTAAATACAAAGAATGAGAAATCTCGGAAATTCGTAATTGTAATTTGATCCCTAAACCATAACAATTAACATCATTGGGTATCGGCACGTATTGGTAACCATAAATCATTCACCCACTCTTAAAATTTTATGTATATATGGTAAATATTATGACCTAAATTAAATTCTGATCTGATGTGAGCCGCCTTTGGTCCCATAAAATTTGAATTATGGGTGTTTGGAATAATACGACCTAATTATTTAAGGTCTTTAACTTTTAAACAGCGTTTCTGCGATTGCCATACCAATAATCACTCTAAATAGTTTCATTTTCATTCTTTCGTTAGTAAACATTTTAACATTTAAACCGCATATTTATAATAGAAGGCGATACTATTGGTTCTTACGTCACATATTTAAAGCATAAACGTGTTTTATTTATATAGGTAATAATGTTCTTTCGATAGTACTAATTTTGATCATATTGAAATCGAGTCGAATGAAGTATCGCAAGCTAAAGTTCATTGTTAATGTGACTTTGTAACCTATTGGATTAAAAAAACCGAAAACCGGTTTTTGCAAAAACCGGTTTTTTTGGCCGGTTATAACCGCCAGGTTAAACCGTAAGCAAAAAAAACCGGTATAACCGAAAACCGGTGTTATGCCAAAAACCGCCATCCCTACTACTTACTAAACGGATTGTTTCCCAACGAAAACGCTTTGCACAGGCATCCTGTTAGTTGTAAAAAGATAATATAGAATCAAATTTCGCCGCATTTATTAAAGCGTTCTACAGTATATTCTCATGGTACAATGAACACAAGGTATGATATATAACGTTAAGAAATTATGTTATTTTAATATTTAATCATAAATAAAATTTTGAAGTTAATTTAAATTTATTGATTTTTGGTATAGTTATTTTGTTAATTTAGATATCCTCTATAAAACAATATTACACGTAGGTACAGTTTAATCAACTTATACTCCGGAGTTTGATATTTCAGATGTTAAAAAAGATACAAAAAAGTGGTAATGAAGTTATACAAAATTTGTATGTATATACTGAACTAAACACAAAATCAAATTAAATAATGATAAAGTCAAAATATATCAGCATACATCTAAATTATTTTTCTAATATAAAATAGATGACTCAGTCAGTATTGAGTTACTTTAAAATATATTTATTATCTCGTAACTTGCAATTTGCAATCGTCAACATTCATAACCGATATTATTGTCGAAGCTTTGTTTTTATACAAGTCTTATGTCTTGCCGGTGTAAAGTCGTTTGAAGTAGATATTTATTGTGTTTAGCGTTTAAACTAATTTGTGCATTATTTTCATATTATTGTATTGTTTGTTAAGTAAATTTTGCATATAATAATCAGTGGGTTATAGTAATATGTATATTTTTTATTTTACTAAATTTAAAAATAATTAAATATAAAATACCATATTGAATTACAAATAAGATTTTTCTTTATTGTAATCTATTTTGTTTTTATTTCAGTAATACTGCTTGGAAATGAGTTACAGTGAATCAAAATACGAAAATCTACTACTATTTACCTCTACAAAAAGAGTGCGTATATTATTAGTATATAAAAATAAATATTTCACCTGAACCCCCACAAAAAGTAAAGGTTTTACGCTACTGAAAATATATTTGTTATTCAATTATAACAAAATCAAAATATATAAAAAAAATTCGATCATTTTTTTAACATAATTTCAAAATTAATGTGTACGTTAAGCTACAATAATGGGTTCGAGCTTTCGTGACTACGTCATACTCCTGGGCCAGCTGTCAAATGCCATGCGCAGTATCATACTTTTTATGCATTGTACCATGGTATATTCTATTGCAACTATACTTTTCTGCTTTTTCTGGTTAGGTTAGGTTTCTGATTAAGATATCGTTGAGGAAATACAGGAATAATATAGATATTATCGAAATGGTATATATCTGGGAGACCAAATATTTATATGAAGTTAAGTAATAATTGTTTGTAATAAAAATACATTTACAAATATCTTTCTTGAAGGTGATTTCCGGAAAAGAAATCTAAACGTCAAATTTAAAAATGTAATTTTAATTACAATAAATAATTGTGACTTAAACACAGAATAATAAACAATCAGAATGCCCACTCTCAGATGCCGCCTTTGAAGTTTTTCATCACGCGCGCCAAGTTTTAGAAGGAAACACAGAACACAAACTCGAATTGAGAATCACATTTGGTGTAATGGGTCTTTATCGACATATGATTTGTGAGGTTATGTAATTGTTGTCTATAATTGTCGTAAGTCGATTAAACCGGGTTAATTTTTCTATGCACACCACAAAAATTTTCATTAAACAACACTGGTTCCCTTTAAAACATGGCAGAATGTCTGCGCGAACGAGATGCGCGTACTTAATTTTCCATGGACAGTGGGCATTCTGATTGTTTATTATTCTGTGACTTAACCGTATATAAACATAATATTTTTAGAAGTTCATCAAAAATTTTCACATAGACCGTTACGTAAAATCATTTACTAACGCAAAGAATTAATATAGCCATATCGGATTACTAATTTTAAAACTCTGTTTTAGGCATTAGGCATATTTTTCCTAAACCAACTACAGTATCAAATTGTTTATAGTTTAATTCTCCAAATAAGTCATTAAAAATCATTTTTTTTAATTAGACAATCACCTCTCAGATTGAGTACACAATCCCCAGTTAGTTCTAGTGACGGAGCACTGGCTTGAGGATAATGAACCAATTTTCATTCAAGAATATACCACAATTGCTAGGTATGATCGTCCAAGTTCAGCTCATGGTGGCACTCTGATTCTTTCAAATAACAATGATTTTTCTTAAGTTTCGAAATATGACTATTTGCTGGGTGAAAACTACTTCGAATTTTCTTTGATTTACAATAAGAAATTTAACCGGTATATTATTTGCATTTATAGATCACCTAGCTCTGATACTGAACTATTTTTTCAGGGCCTGCTAAATTTGTTACATATTCTGTCCATTAAAAGCAGAAAACTTTTATGTGGTAATTTTAATATTGACTACGCTGCTGTTTGTGCGACCCAACTGTCTTTGGTAACTATTTTTGAATCATATGGTCTCACAATGCACGTTAATTCTCCAACAAGAATCTCAAAAACATCATCCTCGACAATCGATTATGTGGTTTCTGATTTTCCACCCGCTGACGTCCATTCTTCAGTTATTAGTGGGGGGCTTTCTGATCATGAAGCGGTATATACCAAGTTTTAAAAACACCCCACTCAAAAACCCGACGATTAGATAGGATTTTTTCCACTCAAAACTTTCGTAAATTTAATCTCTAATTATATAAATAAGTATAGAAAATCCTAACTAAAACTACTCAAAGTAGCCAAAAAATCCTACTTTCATAATTGTCTCACAAGCTCCAAAAATATTCCAAAAGAAACTGGGTCAATAATAAACGATTTTCGAAATAAAACAATTTTCAAAGTTTTCAGTGTTTTATTGTTACAACTTTATAATCACCTTCCAAGAGAAATTAAATCCGCAACATCTTTCATTAAGTTTCGTAAGATGGCAAAAATCTATCTGTCTGAAAGACCATATTATTCTGTTGATTTCTGAAAAGTTTCTTAATGTATAACAAAGAAACAAAATTAGTATTGTTTATAATTACATTTGGGTGTCTCAAGCAGTTGCTACAATTTATTTCATTTGTTGTTTTCTGTACAAATTATGTAAGTTATACAATAATTTTACTAATTTAAAATTGTATTGTTCTGTTTTTTTTATTATATCTGTTTTTGTTTTATACTTTTTGTACTATTTGACTGATTTATTTTTTAGCTTTGTCCATAAAAGTGTTCAATAATTTTCAGTGACAATAAAGCATATTTCTATTCTATTCTACACAATTGAAGTGGGGAAACTGAACATCAACTTGTAACGGATATGTTTTTATGATTTTTAGTTGAATATGTCATGTTTAGTTATTGCTAGATGTAGCAATAATCTACTGGCTAGCAGGTTTAGTCACTTGTTTACAATGAATAGTAGTCCAGGCGGGATCTGTCGAAAAGTAGAGCATAATGACCATTTTCATAGTTTATTTTTTTCTGGAATCACTTTAGGATGTACTTTGTATCAATGATCACGATATGCTCCAGCCGCAAACTGTGTGTTTAATTTTTTATTTAATAAAAATCTGTCTATCTAATCTATTTTACTGAAAAAAAAAATCGAAAATTTTTCCTTTTTCGCCCTTATTTTTGTTTTTCAATTTTACATATTTGACTAGCTATAAATTAAAATTTGATTGTTCATTGTTTAAAAAATGGCAATAGTTGGGAAAAAGTACTAAAAAATAGAGTTTTCCCGAATTTTTTTAACCCGTTAAACAAAACGTACAGCCTTAATATTTTACCCAGAAAAAACTTTAATACAACTGAAACGTTTAAAAAAATTTGTTAAGATCGGTATTTATTGTTGGATAGTAAACTAACTTATAAACTCAAACTGTATGACATTTAATTATGAAAAGTAAAATTAACCTTACAAATGGTATATTATGTGCCTATGTGTCACCCCGGTGGGAATGAAAAGGGTCTAACCACCTTCTGATGCCTCCGGGTGCTCTGTAGAAGGCTTCGGAAATGTCGACGAGAGCTCCTTTACCCAAGTCCATTTTCAGGTCATGGACTTGTAACGGGTAGCTCTTTCGGGACGACAGACTCAGTAAACCACAGGTTGAAATAAAAATGTATCTAATAATTTAATGTATATACAATAAAATAAAAATAAAATAAATTCTACGCCGTATAAAATAAAAATAAAACGAATTCTAAGTCCCCGTCCGGATCCCGCGATGAAGGAATTCCTCGGCGAACGTCTATAACAGAAAGAAAGAGTTATTATTAATAACAACAAATAAAATATGTGAATTCGATCGCACGCAGACTTATACTCGCTTCCGCTTCAATACAGCGAAAGCTCCAATCACACTTGCAAACAAAATATTCGGCTGTGCAGGCTCACGGCAAGGTTCAGTACACAATGCCAATGAGTTCCGCTTAGTTAAGGACAGAGTATGATTCTCAATGCGAAAATCTCTCCGTCCGGGTTATCTCGCAGGTTCAATACACTTGCGAGTCGGGGAGCATAGAGCGCTAGCTGCAAGACTGACTAATTTCGCTACTCACATGCCTTAAATACCCTCTCCGAATCCCACTCACTTCGCCATCTCGCTGAGGAAGTGGATGCGCAAACATGACATTCCCACGGTTCAAACTGTTCAACGATAAGAACATCGTTACAGACTTTGTTTGTTAGGTGAAAGTTTTCTTCGGTGACTTGCCTTGATAAAGGCAAGGTAATTTCTTACATGACGAAAAGGTTGTCGAAATAATAACACCAAATTTGCAGTTGAACAAAATTTCAGCCACAAAGTATAAAAAATGAAGTAAGCAGCGCCCCGAAAGCACTAACCTCTCGGAGAGCCCGTAAGGGACTGACTTGGTTGACCTGAAAATCGCCAATATTTATATACGCTGATGAAGCGATAAATAGGGATTTCCAGGTCAGGGACCAATAGGAAAATTCGATATATATATATATATATATATATATATATATATATATATATATATATATATATATATGTATATATATATATATATATATATATATATGTGTGTGACAAGTCTTGTCGAATTCTTGTGGTTGCGCTAGCCGGAACCGGAAAATATCACTCTGTGGTACTCGTCCCATTGGCGTTGTCAGCTTTACAAACAGGTAACATACAAACAGCACACAAGTATTATTACGTTAAGTATAAGTTATGGCGTAAACATCCTCCCCTTGTTGAACGTGGTACCTTTCAAACACTGGTAGGAAGAGGACAAATACTTTGAAAACTCCTTTTAATAATTTTCGTGGCAGTTTCGATGGTTGCCACTCTGGATATTCCATCTGTACCCTTATGTAGTTTCAGAATTCTACCTAGTGGCCATCGTGTCGGTAAAGTATGCAGATCTTTGATTAATACTAGCGAATTGTCCAATAGTTCACCCTTGTTGGCCCTACACTTGATGATCCATTGTAACTCGGTAATATGGTCCATCTTCCAGCGGTTCCAAAACCGTTGGGTCAAGTGTTGTAGAAGCTGTTATATATTCAGTCTATTCAGATTAATGACGGTCACATCTTGATCAGGAATAGCTACTATAGGTATTTCAATGAAAAAGTGAGCTAGGGTTAATAGTCTAATAATTCTAAATTGCCTCTATCTACGGAAGAATAATAGTGAATTCCTGGAAAAGTAAATAACCGTTTGTTAAAACTCGTTTTAAATTATGCTTTACGCTCTTTGTCTCTGCCTCCCAGAGGCCAACAAAATGCGGTATATAGGGAAGTATAAAACTCAACTCTATATATTGAGTCTCATTAACAATTGCTTTTCTATTCTGATTAAATAATTGTTTTAATTCGCGGTGCGCGCCTATAAAATTTGACCGTTGTCTAAAAATATTTTTGAAGGTCTCCCTCGACTCAAAACGAAACGACGCAGAGTTTGAATAAAGGCTTCCGAAGACAGGATAAAGATTAATTCTAAATACCACCTTCGTGGCTAAAGAGATTAACAAATCAAAATAACTTTTTGATATGCGACATCCCCTTCCTTTTCTATCTTTACTTTGAAAAGGGCCGACATAATCCACCCCCACTATGGTAATGCGTCAGAAGGATTTACACGTTCCCATGTTAAATTAGACTCAATGCTCTTAGCGTTAAACTTAGAATATTTGAGACAATTTTTTACAGTTATTCGCTCAAGATTTCTGTCTACTATGAGCTATTACTCCTCCCTTATAGCACTTAAATGAAGTTGAAAGCTCGCAAGTAAGAGACATTCCTGTTCTAAAGAAAACAGTAGTGAAGTAAAATGATGCCTTAAATGTAGCAATATGGGATTTTTTTGTTAAAGTCAAATTAAGAGTGTCTTAACCTACCGTTAACTCGAAGAGTATTGTTTGTATTCAAGAAAGGAGCAAGACCTAAAATGTTTTTAACTGTATTGATCCTTATAATAGCTGTTTTATTTGTAAAGGAATCATTTTGTCCAAGTCTAACCAACGTTTCTAAAGCAAACATAAGTTCTTGTACCTCTGGAGGCCCGTGTCGTTTATTTTATTTATTTATATTTAAAACGAAAAATGTAAGCAACCGATCTTTGCATTCTAGAAAATTTAAAAAAGCACTGAAAGGGAAATGAAAATTAAGCGTTTGATGTATTTTATCTAAATTAGCGACATTTTCGCAAGAATGTTTTGGCCAAAAACAATGTTTACAGGTTTTGTTAATTAAAAATATAAGCACAAGGTTTGTGACTGGCACATATCTGATCCCGCTTTTAATGTATAAATTAGTACAGATAGTAAAAGATGTATTAGAAAGCATTTCAATGTATTCAATGGATACATAGAACCTTTCAACATTTAAGCTAAAAATAAAGCAATGCATAAGTTTATGTATTTATGTATAGTTTGTGTTGGTATTTGTTTATATAAAACTTATTTTTCATTTACAGGCTACATTGCACAATTTACTACAACTACTACTACCACTACTTCAATAACTACTACTACTACTACTACAAAACCTACTACGACTACTACAAAACCTACTACGACTACTACAAAACTTACTACGACTACTACAAAACCTACTACGACTACTACACAACCTACTACTACTACAAAACCTACTACCACTACAAAACCTACTACCACCACTACAAAACCTACCACTACCACAAAACCTACTACTACTACTACAAAATCTACTACTACAAAACCTACTACCACTACAAAACCTACTACTACTACAAAACCTACTACAACTACAAAATCTACTACTACTACTACAAAACCTACCACTACTACAAAACCTACTACTACTACAAAACCTACTACTACTACAAAACCTACTACGACTACTACAAAACCTACTACGGCCACTACAAAAACAACTACTACTACTACTACAAAATCTACTACTACTACTACAAAACCCACTACTACTACTACAAAACCTACTACGATTACTACAGCACCTACTACGACCACTACAAAAACTACTACTACTACTACAAAACCTACTACTACTACGACAAAATCTACTACTACTACAAAACCTACTACTACTACTACTACAGTAACCACCTCAACTACTACTCAAAAGCTTACCTGTCAGAGATCCACACATGGTTGCTGCCACGACGGTGTAACGTTTGCGTTTGGACCTAATTTTGACGGATGTGACCCTATTCCTAAAGCTGGTAATATTTCCACCATAAGGTGTATCATTCTACTTTTTTCTGCTTATATTGTTATAGAGTATACTGTGGTCGAGTATTGACTATTTCAAAAGAATATGCAACAAAATAAAAATAGTCATGGCGTTCGAATAATGTTATTGTTTTACATGTACTACTTACATACGTGTACTCTATTCCTGGAGGCTAACACAAAAGTTAAAGGAATCACAGAATATACAATGGTTGAATATAAATATATAAAAGCTTGTAAACGGGGTAGCAGAAAAACGTTCATAAAAAACAAGATCCAAGAACAAATTAATCTTATTGGTGGAACCAGGAAATCAAAGAGAAGATCAAAAAATGAAGAAACAGTATCAAAAAGTTTTGCAAAATTAAGACGATCAAACAAAAATACAATATAAAGAATTTAATAGAAAGGTAAAACGAGAAGTAACCAGAAAAAAATAAGACCTGGTAAAAAAGTAGAAACACTTAGACAACCATCTTGGAGGCACAAAGATTTCAACAGCATGCAGACCTATACAAACTGTTAAAATAACTAATAAAAACAACTTTAAATTGCGTTTGGTATCTGACGAAAAATGAATAAAGGACTTCAAGGATCTGCTGTCGAAAAAAAGAGAAATAGAAAACAAACAAACAAAGCGATCCGATTTCTCTGAATTAATGCACATCGGCTCTAGAGTATGTTTTCAAACAGCTTTACTAGAAGCAAAAATATTAAATGTTGATACCATAAGTAGTAGCGAACTCAACCAGCTACATCTTCTAAAATTAAGAAATGTTTGAGAAAGAGTAGGCTTGAAAATGAAGTTAGCAAAGCCGTGTATCTTATTTTTAGAAAAAGTATCCGTTACCGTAGGGGTGGAACGGGTGAGAAAATATATTAACTTAGGTCATCTAAGTTAAGAAAAGTTAGATAAAGTTAAGAAAAGTTACATAGCGTTCAGTAGAACATTATATGCTGGGAATAACTTGAAAATATCGCTTTTGCAGTGAATGACGTAAGGACGTAATACAATGTACTGCTTTAATAAAGTGATTTGGGTAGGCCATGTTGCCGTACAAGATGATACCAGGTAAACTAGACAGATTGTACAGCACAGTTTTGGGCATATAAGAGAGGTTTGGGTCGACCTCCAAAAAGATGGCTCGACGGATCGAGAGAAAATGTAGAAACATCATGGCAGCAGGTAGCAGACAAATTAAAATAGAAACACAAAGGGAAGACTTACGTTTAGAAGTGGACAGTCAAGGTCTGCTAAAAAAAGAAAATAAAAGGACTGAGCCGATCACGCTCTCGAGCATGATCGGTACCCAGCTTAAGTAAACAAATTGGCGTTGGTTCAGGATTAGTTCTATGAATTTTTATTCATAAAGACAGATGATCCGTGAAGGTGAAGTAAATCTCATTTTGATGTGTCGGCGGTTTTTGCCAGTTTGCAGTTAACATGCATGTGAAAATTGAGACTAAACGATTAGCAAAACGTTTGAACCAATGCAATGGCAACTTTTATCTGAAGGGTACATCAATTTTCGCTAACGATGGCGACCCAAACAACGTTAAATTAAGGACAATCATAATGGCCACTTATATTGGAAGCACGCGCCACATGCACGAGTATAGTTGCCAACAAATTATTGCAGAAAACATTATCTTAAGTATATTACAAAGTCAGTTGTATTTGAGTAGTATTGTTAAGTTTCGAGATGTATCTAACATAAACAAATAGTCCAGTCACAGATGAACACAATGCTTCTACCTGATTTTGATAGTAATCCCATAAAATAGAAACGACTTCATCTTCTTGTAGTTTCTTCTTCTATCGGAGGTTGGCTATCATCCCAGCTATCCATCCTTATTCGCGGGGCTGCTCTGAAAAGATCTACTAAGCTCCAACTATACTACTCTCTTAGGTTTCTTAGTCAGGAAATTCTTTATCTTCCTATGGATCTTTTACCCTTGATTTTACCTTGCATATCGAGCCTTAATATCTCATATTTTCCACCTCTGATCTTCTTCTTCTTCTCGTACCATCTCCTCTAAGAAGAATGGCAACCATCATGGCAATTCGCATTTTCGACGCCGCTGCTTTAAAGAGGTCAGCAGAAATGCAGTTAAACCAAGCTCTCAAATTATTTAACCAGGAGATGCGTCTTTTTACGCGACTCCTTCTACTCTGTATTTTTCCTTGTATTATTAATTGCAACAATTTCTAACGCTCGCTCTTCATAACATGTCCCAGATATTGCAGTTTCCCGACTTTAACTGTATTTAAGAACTAACTCTTTATCTTTTCCCATTCTTCTCAACACCTCGACATTCGTGACTCTATCTACCCAACTTATTCTTAATATCCTTCTGTAGGCCCATAACTCGAAGGGTTCCAATATGTCCGAAACATCTTTCTTTAAAATCCAAGCCTCCAACCCATAAAATAATACGGAGAACACGTGGCATCTCAGAAGTCTTATCTTTAAAGAAATTGAAATGTCTCTGCTGCAGAGTACTTTTTTCAGTTCGTTGAAAGAATTTCTTGCCTGTTCTATTCTTGCCTTAATCTCTCTGTGTACTCATTATTTTCATTGATTATTGTACCCACATATTTATGTTTTTCAACTTTTTTAATTTGTTCTCCATTTATGGTTGTGTTTTCTTGGCACTGTTGGGCTTTTGTAATTACCATAAATTGTGTCTTTTTTGTGTTTAGGGACAGTCCGTTTTCTTCACTGACTTCTACCACTCTGTCAACCATTTGTTGTAAATCCTCAAGACATTCCGCTAATAAAATAGTGTCGTCGGCAAACCGTATATTATTGATTGGTCGGCCATTTACTTTTATTCCCATAGTTAGTTCTTCTAGTGCTTCCTGGACTATTTTCTCTGAATAAAATTAAACAAAGTAGGAGACAGGACACAGCCCTGTCTGATGCCCCTCTCAATCTGTATTTTATTTGAAAAGACGTTGTTTTCTTTTACCACAGCGATCTGATTATACAGATAGCGCTAATGATCCTGATGTCTCTCATAAGTTTTTCTTTTCAAGTAATTCGATAAGACGGTTATGTCTGACCTTATCAAAGGCTTTATTGTAATCCAAGAAACACATATATACTGGCTGATTAACATCCATGCACCTTTGCACAAGTACATTCACAGCGAACAGGGCTTCCCTCGTTCCCAGTGCATTTCTAAATCCAAATTCTGTGTCACTTATGTCCTGCTCAAGTTTGTTGTGTATTCTCCGGTGTATAATTTTTAAAAATATTTTGAACGTATGACTCATTAAACTTATTATCCGGTGGTCTTGGCATTCTTTTGCATTTGTTTTTTTTTTTGGTAGTGTTATGAATGTTGACATCAGCCAATCTCTGGGAATGATTCCTGTACTGTATATTGTATTGAATAAGTCGACCAATATTCCAATTTGCTGTTCTTCTATTAACCGTATTATGTCTACATATATTTCGCCAGGACCTGTTGCCTTATTATTCTTTGTTCGCTCTATTATCTCTAATACCTCATCTTCTGTTATGTCTGGGCCGTTGTCGAACTTTTCCTGCTTTAGTACTATCCCAGTCCGTTCGTCTTTAAATAGCTCTTGAATATATTCCTGCCATCTTTTAAGTCTTTCACCGACATCTATAATTATTTTGCCGTTTTTATCCAGTAGTATGTTTGATTTTTTCTTAATATTAGTGTCTTTAATGTCCCTAATTTTTTTATGAAGGTTTAAATTATCATGTTTCTCCGCCAACTGTTCAATCTCTTCGCATCTGTCACTATACCATCTTTCCTTTGAATATCTGATCTTTCTCCTTATTTCTGTGTGTATAATATTATACAAGCACCTCTTGTAATGTGGCCTAAATATTCCAAAATATTCGCAATCCTTTTGTAGCCTTCTTAACACTTCTGCATTTATAACTCGTTCGGTTCATGGTATTTTCAAAATCCTTTTATAGCACCACATCTCAAATAATTCTAACTTCTTCATATTATTCACTTTTAGTGTCCAGTTTTCAATTCCATACAACAAAGTCGAGAACATGTAACGTCTTAAGGCTCTTATCCTCAGCTACAGAGGAAGTTATCTATTAACGAACTATTTCTCTATCATGGTCACTGTTTTCATTTAACCAGGTTCCCAGATATTTGTAGTTATTCAATCTTTGTACTTGTTTTCCCTCGAGATCTAGCCTTCCTACTGTATTTTGCTTAGAAATAATCATGCACTTGGTTTTCTTAACGTTCATTTGTAGTCCATCTTTTATACCGACTTGATGTAATCTATTTACTAAGCGTTGCAGTGCTTCTAGACTGTCTGCACGCGCAACCTTGTATCGACATTTTCGATTTTTACCTTTGCTATTTGATTCCATTACAGACTGACAATAACCCGTATATCTCGACTATCCACATTCTTTTCTTTTAACAGTTTTACGAGTTTCTGATGTTATAATCTATCAAAATCCTTTTGATAAACTATAAAGCAGACATAGAGATCCTGATTCATATCTAGTCGTCTTTGGGCGAGAAAGTTAAAAGCGAACAGACCCTCTGTCGTTCCTAGTCCTGTTCTGAATTTAAACTGGGTGTCGTCTATATCTTCTTCTATTTTTTGTATAGTCTTCCACGTATTATTTTAAAAAATATCTTAAAGGTCGATTCAGACACATCAGTCACGTCTCGTCACAGTCCTGGCGCCAAACCGAACAATCCGTCATACAAAATATCCTTTAATAGAAATATGGCGCCGGCATTCACATTCATCAGGTGACGAACAGTTTGCCAGCTGTCAGATAGTTGATAGTTCTGTGACCAAATAGGACCAGGTTCGGCGTCGGGACTGTGACGGGACTGATGTGTCTGAATCGTCCTTTAGTGTGTGGCTTATTAAGAAAATTGTTCTGTACTGGGAGCATTCTGTCGCATGTACTGACTTTGATAGTATTACAAAACGTTTACAGCAACCAATCTTCGGGTATTACTCCTG